TTTTTATTAAAAAAAAAAAATAATAATAATTATTATTTTTCTCAATTTATTAAAAGTATGAAAAAAACAACAACTTTTGGAGAAAAAAAGTGACGTCATCAGTCGTAAAATTTTACATTACCGTGACGTCATTACTTTATATAAATATGAATGATGATGATTTTACTAAGAAATTTACGACGATTTAAAAAAAAAAAAAAAACGGTCTCGTAAGAATTTTTTTTTTTTTCATATTATTAAAAATCCGAATTTAAATAAATAATCGTAATCATTATTATTATTATTGTTAACATTATTAACGCTATCTATATTATTATTATTATTAAAATAAATAAGAATTATAAATTAATAGAATTAAAATAAATAATTTTTTTTTGAATTTTGCTTTTAGCGACGGTAAAAAAATTTTTTTTTTTTTTTTTTTTTTATTTTATTAAAAAGAAATAATGATAATAATAATAATAATGATGATAATAAAATTATGGAATTTTGAAATGTTTTCATTTAAAAAAAGAAAGAAGGGAAAGGGGGAGGGAAGAGGGAGGATGGAGGAGGGGAAAATGTTAAAACCAAATTTTTCAGTGAGACAAACACGTGTAGTAGAATCCACCGAAGAGAGAGAGAGAGTTTTTGGAATCAAGTTTTCCAGTAAGTTTTCCAGCGAGACTAACACGTATAGTAGAATACATCCAAGAGAGAGAGAGAGCTTTGAAGCCAAATTTTCCAGTAAGACGAACACGTAGAATCCATCCAAGAGAAAGAGAGAGAGCTTTTGAAGCCAAATTTTCCAGTAAGACGAACACGTAGAATCCATCCAAGAGAGAGAGAGAGAGCTCTGGAGCCAAATTTTCCAGTGAGACAAACACGTATAGTAGAATCCATCCAAGTGAGAGAGAGAGAGAGAGTGAGAGAGAGCTTTGGAACCATGTGTAGAATCCATCCAAGAGAGAGAGAGAGAGAGAGGGAATATCATCAACTTATCCGGCAAGTATACTTTTCCATACAATTCCGACCGGAAATACCATAATTAATGGCTTCATCCATGTGTGAAAGGGCATTTAAATATTTCGTGTTATTAAACGGCCTGGAAAACGGTAAAAAAAAAAAAAAAGAAAAATTTTATCATCACGATCATGATAACAATAATAATAATAATAATAATGAGGAAAATTTTGAAATTACTCGGTTAGATATTGATATCCTTTGAGAAATAATCTTCCAGTAAATGCATATTCTTCTGCTTTTATCGGATCGAGGCAAGCAATTTTTTTCATGCAATCATAATCTTGAGTCTTATCACCTCTTAGATAACCCAACATCATTAAAAGTTCAGATTCGGTTAAAAATTTTGAATTTTTAAAAAAAAAATTCCCGTTGTCGCGTATGACGTCATCAACATACGACGATGACGATCTTCCATAATTATAATGTTGCGGTCCGAAACCGAAGGCTCCAGCACCGAAAACGATGGCTTTTAATATCATTAATATGAATAAATTTGTAAGATTTAAACTTATGACCTAAATAAAATAAAAATTTTGACTGGAGAAGATGCTGGAACTCGTTTTGGTCCATAGAGAGAGAAAAAACGTTATACTAACCTTGCTGTTTGTCGTACCTCTCGATATCCAATCTTCAGCTAACGACGTTAACATTGACGTGGCACCATTAAAAAATCCGTTAAATTTACCCTCGCGATACTTAATATTATTATTATCATCCGTTAAAACCGTTAAAAATAAACCGAATAAAATAAATAAATGAATTTTAAACATTT